TAGTCTGAGAAAGAAGATAGTCTTTCTTAGACTAAGCTACCTCAAAACCCAATAAATAACGCAACAAGCCCAAATCCTTCATAGCAAATCGATGAGCTAGATCATGCTTCAAAGACTTAATACCACCATGGTCATCTCTAGTAATAATCATGCCATCCACATATAAGGACAAAAGAATTCATCCTGCACTTGAGCATCTAATAAACAAAACCGACTCATGATTACTCTATACAAATCCAAGAGAGGTAATCACCGTGGAGAATTTCTCAAACCAAGCACGAGGTGCTTGCTTGAGACCATACAAAGCTTTGCAAAGCCGACAAACCTCACCTGACTGGTGCTGAATTCCTGGGGGAGGAGACATATAAACCTTTTCATGGAGGTCACCATTCAAAAAGGAATTTTTGATATCTATTTGAAAGATCTTCCACTGTTGAACAGATGCAACCATAATTATAGAACGGACTATCGTTATCTTTGCCACTGGGGCAAAGGTCTCCTCATAGTTAAAACTATACTGTTGGGAATACCCTTTTGCTACAAGTTTGGCCTTGTACCGCTCAACAGACTCATCTGGTTTTTTTATCTTGTACACCTAACGAAAACCAATCGTATGTTTCGCAGGAGGAAGGGAAACAAAATCCCATGTATAAGTCTGATGAAAAGCAGTGAGTTCCTCATCCATAACATTCTTCCAAAGTGGATCTAATACAACTTCTCTATACGATTCAGGCTAAGACAGATGTTGGATACTCGCTATAAATGAAGCAAATAATCCTGAGTATGTAGAGTAGGACAAATCTGGAAGGTTGGTGGACTTGATAGGACGAGTGGAGCTCCTGAGGGGTGGTGGAGGTGGATCTTCAATCTGAACAGTCGAAGGCACGTTCTTAGGAATAGGAGAACTGAAGGAACTCTCTGAAGAAGGGGGCATGTCTAGAACTCGAGGATCATGCGGCATAGATGAATCTCGAGTCTTAATATCCTCATCAAAAGGATAAATATGCAGAAGATCTGACTTCGTTACATTGTGGGTCATAGCAAGAATCGAGTAGAAAGGAATATGTTCCAAAAAAATGATATGCCGAGAAATTTTATTAGTTAAAATTTTCCGTTGCTAATGCATCGTTGTTTTGTTTTGTTTTTGTTTTTGTTTTTGTTTTATTTTGTTTTTTTGATATGTTCCTGGATTAGCAAGTGATTTAAAATTTGTTGCTAATATTTTTATCGCGAATATGTTGCTATGGTATGTAATTAGCGAGGTTCAATTCGGTTAAAAATTTGACGCTAATGACTATTTCATATAGAGTCGCATTTTAACATATTTGATATTCCATTATCACGTAATCTGAACATTTAGCTCATATGTTTTCTTGTTAATTGGTTAATCACGAGTGACTCCATTTGTGCGGGGAAAGTTGTTTATTTTGGAGGAACATATTTAGATGTGTTATTATAGTTAGACGAAATTTTATTACGATGTGTCTAAGGTTTGGTTGTCAAATGGCATATGATCCAAATACGGATTGTATTATATAGTTAGTCTTAATTTTAGTGTTCCAATAGTTAGACAAACATTTTGGCTTATGACTGGAATAATTGATTAATGAATAATCTTGAAGAT